GTAGGGGTTGGCGGGGGGGGGGGGAAGACGTTTCCAAGCGGGCTCTTTTCCTGTTATATATTTGTTAGACGCTTGGTGGTGTCAGCAATAAAGTCTAAGGGCAAAAGGTAAAATAGTTTGTACCTTGGGGAAGTTTTAACCTAAGCTGGTAAAAATAAGCTTAGGGGGTTTTTCATGCAGGTCCCCACATCTGTACCCTGGAGTTCAAAGTGGGGAAGGAATCTTGACACAGACATAGCACACTTATGTCTCTTTACTCAACAGTACTTCCCCCACTCACTAAGGAGAATTCCATAGTCTTCTTTGACTAGAAGACTGTGGTTACAGCTCAGAACTGGGGGTGTGAGAAGAAAGAAGGGAATTCTCATAAGCAAACTCGGAAAATGCAGCTAGATTAAATTACTCAGACTAATTATCAATGGTTCCCTATCAAACTGGGAGGGTGTATTTAGTGGGGTTCATAGGGGTCAGTCCTGGGTCTGGTACTATTCAAAAATTTCATTAATGACTTCAGTAATGAAGTGGAGAGTATGCTTATAAAATCTGCAGATGACACCAAGCTGAGAGAGGTTGCAAGCACTTTGGAGGACAGGATTAGAATTCAATATCACCTTGACAAATTGGAAAATTGGCCTGAAATCAATAAGATGAAATTCAACAACAAGTGTGAAGCACTTCACTTAGGAAGGAAAAAAAAAAATCACAAAATGGGGAATAACTGAATAGGTGGTGGCAGCACTGTGGAAAAGGATGTGGGGATTACAGCAGCTCACAACTTGAATGAGAGTCCACAATGTGATGCAGTCGCAAAAAAGGCTAATATTCTGGGGTGTATTAATAGGAGCGTCATACGTAAGGTAAGTAAAGTAACCGTCTTGCCCTCTACTCAGCATTGGTGAGGCTTCAGCTGGAGTATTGTGTCCAGTTCTGGGCACCACACTTTGAGAAACAAGTGAACAAATTGAAGAGTCCAGAGAAGAGCAGCAACAGTGATAAAAGGTTTAGAAAATCTGACATATGAGGAAAGTTAAAAAAACTGAAACGGTTTAGTCTTCAGAAAAGACAACTCAGGGGGAACTAGTAACAGTCTTCAAATCCTGTTAAGGGCTGTTATAAAAAGGACTGATCAATTGCTCTCCATGCCCACCAAAGGTAGGACAAGAAGAAATGGGCTTACTCTGCAGCCAGGCAAATTTAGATTAGATGTTAGGAAAAACATTCTAACTCTGAGGGTGTTGGATCATATTAAAGAAGTTCTGTATTAAAATCACAAATGAGTTTGATTCCCCATAGTTTAAATTCCAGGGTATGACTAATTAAGAGGTCTCTTGGTTTTTGGTACTGTTTCTCTCCCTCTATGTGTGAAACTTGCAAGCTGCTAATTGTGTTAGTACATTCTAAGACAGAGTCTGTTCTCAAAGCAATTCTTTGTAACAACCACCACTCACACACAGAGAGAGACTCAAAGCAATACTCTGTAACAACAGAAACAGCACCCAGAGACTCCCTGCCCTTTTGTTGTATTCATCTCGCTTTGTTAACAATTGTGATTAAAATAGAAATAGAGGATGTATGTGGATAGATGCTTGGTGTGGGTAATAACTGAATGATCAGGGAGGTGCCAGCCTAAGAATGCAGTGTCCATCGGCTGAAGAAGGCGTCAAGTAGAAATAACCAGAGGACCCCCAGAGGGCAGACTGGAATCCACCCAACAGCCTCAAGAATGGGAGAACCAAAGAACAAGATAATATCTGGCAGCACGGAGCCATCAGGAATGTGACATCTGCTGATTGATTCAGCAACAGCATGATGAAGCAATTCCCATAGACTGGCAGAGGAAGAAATTCCTATAAAAATGGACTCTAGAAAGTGAGAACTTTGGGGTCTGATTCTGCAAACCAACTTCTAGGAGCATCAGATGTGCATCTGACAAGGCCCTGCTCCCTCCTCATGTCCAGGCCACCTGGCCAGTGGCTTGGCATGAGCAACTCTAAGGCTGGTAACTATGATAACAACCTTGCAGAACCTGTGTGTGTGTGTTTGTATAAATGAATGTGTGAATAAATATGAGACTGAATGGAATGTTATAGCTATAACTAACTGCTTACTATGATTCTTTCTGTATTCACAATAAATGTGGTATTTTGCCTTTTCCCCTTTAATAGGATCCTGCTGGTTTTTATTTTATTGGTATAACAAGGGTAGCTCAAGCATAAATTCCCTAGGGAGGTTGTGGAATCCCCATCGTTGGAGGCTTTTAAGAAGAGGTTGGACAAACACCTGTCAAGGGTGGCCTAAGTTTACTTGGTCCTGCCTCAGTGCAGGGGACTGGACTAGCTGACCTCTAGAAGTCCCTTCCAGCCCTAGATTGCTATGATTCTATTTGTTTGTGCGAGGCACAAAGAGACACAAGGGATACAGAACACAATCCCTTCCCTATCACTTTGTTGGGAAATCTCCTAAGGTCACCACAAAAACAGTTTTCTCCAAATCAGATTCAGTACAGACAATGCATGGTATGTATTGTTCTACACTACATACTGTTAACAAAACTAGCATGAGCAACATTTCTATCAATAGACTACATATTCCTTCTTGACTTCTATAGTGGATATTTAAACTTGATGATTCCAGCAGAAAGTGAGCCAACCTTCAATTTAGCTCTCCGTCATTTTCGTTAATTTAAAATGAGGAAAAGTTTTTATTCTATCCTCTAAAGCTTCCACGTGGCTCTTAGTTTATTTTGACCTGACAGGTGTCCCTTTAAAGATATTCTTACCATTACCACCACCTTACATTAAAACAAATGTGAAAATCTAACATCCTTCTGTACTTAGGCTGTTTATTTTTTGCATCTCTTAGCCTGAGCATCAGAACACAAAAGCTGCCATGATTGGTCAAACCAGTGTACCATCTGGTCAGGCAGCCAGTACAAGATGTTTCACAGAAAACTGAAAGAAACTCCGTAACAGACAATTATGAAATAACCAGTTCCTTAAACTAGTTTCTTCCTAGCTCATCATTTAACAGTTGATGTATGTTCTGAAACATGAAGGTTTATATCTCTTCTGTTTTTCCCTCTGGCAAATGTAACTGTAGATTTTCTCATTACCCATGAGAGCATCTAATCCTTATTCTGAATCCAACCAAACCACTGGCTTAAATTATATATAGTGACATTTAGTTCCAGAGATTAACTAAAATAAACTGGCCTGTTGCACTTTGCATACCTAGTCAATTTCATACTCAGGTTCCCATGCACTGACACAGTCTTCCATAGTTCAGGCTATTTAAATACAAGCCAAGAGATTTTCCACTGAAATTTTTGTTGTGTCACTGATACGTTGCTACTGTTTTTGAGTTCTGTAAAACCTTGCTTTTACTAAATCCAAGGTTGATCATTCTCTCACTCTGTGTCCCCTTTTTAGTGTTTAATTACTGCTGAGAGATAAGAACTTACCAACCATAGACTGAAGGGGAAAAAACAAAACAAAAATAAAACAAACTTTCCTTACAAATTCCATCAAGTTCATTGACTAGCCTCCCATCAAAGTCAGCCTTCATTCTACCTCTCTAACTCCTTTTGCCAATGAAATTAATAGGCAGCAGGTTTAAAACAAATAAAAGGAAGTATTTCTTCTTACAACGCACAGTCAACCTGTGGAACTCCTTGCCAGAGGATGTTGTGAAGGCCAAGACCATGACAGGGATAAAAAAGAACTAGATAAATTCATGGAGGATAGGTCCATCAATGGCGTCTCTAGCCTCTGTTTGCCAGAAGCTGGGAATGAGTGACAGAGGATGGATCACCTGATGATTACCTGTTCTGTTCATTCCCTCTGGGGCACCTGGCACTGGCCACTGTTGGAAGACAGGATACTGGGCTAGATGGACCTTTGGTCTGATCAAGTAGGGCCATTCTTATGTTCACATAAAAGCCCACATGCAAAGTCACAAGCTAGCGGACTTCCACAGTCTTCTAGTTTCCACTTCCAGCATCCCCCTATGAGCTAAAACCAGAACACATCACTCAATGCGAGCACCTAGCCAGAACAGGGGAAAACCCAGCAAACTTAGTTTTCCTTTTTGTAATTATTGAGTAATATTTGTTTTCTTTCCCACCCCCTCAACTGTCAGTTTATGCCAAAATATTTAGATTTGTACAAGCAGAATATTAGGACTGTTTTGAGGACTGGCGTTAAAAACCCTTTTGAGGAGTTTACAAGCTCGGAAAGGTAGCATTCACCCATACACCAAAATCTGAAAGTGAAACCAACAAGCTTGCCCAGCAGAAGAGAAATGCAATAAGTAAACAAGATAAAGACAGGCTACAGAACAAACAGCACCAACAGGGAAGGTTAAATGAGATGTTTAGAGTCCTTCCAGTCAGCAACTTCAGGTGTTGTTAGTGAGACAAATCAGGAAGGCTGCAATGTCTCTCTGGGTGAAGCTTCCTGGCAATACCCCACAAGTGTACACACAACAGCCACCAACTTGGACACCCCACGCCTCCTTGATTCCACAGAAACTAGCAACAAATGTTACTGCATGGTAAGTCTTCTCCATCCTTTCGGTGGAAAGCCCCTGGCTCAGCCTCTGAGCATTAGCACTCTCCTTGGGTGGTAACTCCCACTCCTTCTACCTGTCCCCGCACACTCCCTCCTCCTGCCTCTAGTCCCCACTTGGGCCCAGCCCCACAACCCCTCCTCCTGCTGCTTTATTGCTCCTCCTGTCCTACTCCCGACCCCAACGGCCTCCTCCTGTCCCCCCAGTCCTACCCTTACTTCCATCTGCCCCCAGGGCCCCTTCCACCTTTCTTCTGCTTTATTGCCCGCACCCCTTCTCCTCCTGCCCCCCAATCCTACCCCTCCTCCTTCTGTCCCCCAAAGCCATTCCCCAGACCCACACCCCGCAGCCTCCTCCTGTCCCCCAGATTCCTTCCTCCTGCCCCACCCCCTCTTCTTGCCCCTTCCCCCAACTCCCGCCCCGCCCCCTCTCACCTGCACCCGCGGCCTCGCTTTCCGGGCGGGGAGTCCCCAGCCCGGCGCGCTGTTTACCTGCCGGCCCCAGTCGCTTTCCCCTCCGTTCGGCGAGCACGTGCACTTCCGCCGGGAACGCTCCCGACTCACGGGAAATGTAGTCACCAGCGCGGGGAGCGGGCCGCTTCCGCCCGAGCCGCGCTGCACGTTGGGAAACACCACCTACCCAGGCGCTCTGCCTGCTGGGTATTGTAGTTCTATTGTGAGCGTGCCCGGCTCTTTGTGAGAGGCGCCGCCGAGAGCCCAGAGCGGCAGCGAGCAGCGGAGGGGTAAGGGACAGCTTCCCCCGGCTGGCTCAGACTGCCCAGCCCGTGTCCTCCTGGGGCCTCCCCAGAACCGCTGCCGCAAATCACATTCAGATTCTAGTTCGAAGCGACTCTCGGAGTACCCCTCAGAGCAGCAGCGTCCGCTAGAGGGCCCCCACCCCAGCATCTAAGATTTAGTTACAAGTATTTTCAGTAAAAGTCATGGACAGGTCACGGGCTATGACTTTTTGTTTATTGCCCTAACTTGTTCATTACTTTTACTAAAAATACCCATGACATAGCCTTAGAGATATACCATCTATCCACTCAGAACAGGACTTCACAGGATGTTTGAGATTCAAAACCCAGGCTTGGGTTGTTTTGGTGTTGACCAGTCGTGATCCTGTAGCATCTCATCCGTTTCCTCACAGGGCAGGGTCAGACACAGTTTGCTCCATATTTCAGCATCAGTCATACTCAGGACATATGCTCTGTGATGCAGATACATGGTTAGGTGCCAAGGACATAGCTTGTTGAGATATTGACCTTTAAAAATAAGTCACCCTTTATATTTCACATATCTTCATTTCCTAATCCTGCTCTCACTGCATCTCTCCCAGGCAGCCAATGTCATACAGGCCCTTGGCATCTACTATGAATGCCTCTCAGTGGAATTAACATGCCACAAGAGCAGCATCACCAACCCTAAGTGTTCAAATTTGAGCCAGGCCCCTCCAAATTATGAGACTGACTTAAAAATCACAAGGGTTTTTTGTTTTGCTTTGTTTGTTTTTAATAGTACATTTGGAGACCTTTTTATTTGACTTCTGGTTTTCAATATTGCCACTCCTTGCAATTTTACTGTGAGTGTGGCACAATATTTGGTGACTATGTGAGCACCTTAATTATGGAATCCGATTATTTCTGGACAATTTCAACTTTCATTTTAAAGAAAGGTAAATTTCTGGCCTTCTTGGCTGCACAGAAGAACTCAAAAGCATGAACCATACATGTACCAGCACCAGAAAGCAAACAAAAATAAACCCAACTGATTTTTGAAGCCAATCTCATGATTTTAGGGGCCTTGACTCATTTTTATTACCACATTAGTGGGTTTTGAACCTTTAGGCAACACTCAGGTCACATTTCCAATCTTTTCTCTTCAACAGAGGGCTAGAAAGTTACTTAAAAACACTGAAAGCTGAAATCCCAGGCAATCACGGGACCCCAGGAGCTGCGGGCTTTAAGAAACACAACAAATATAGAGAGACTCCAATCTGGCTATGCCGGGAAAGTGATTTCAGAGCACACCAAAATCTTCCTTGTTTGCTCACTTCACTAGGGTTGGACTACAACTCCCAGAATCCCTTAGCAGAGTCGGAGGAGGGAGGAAATTCCTTCCAGGCAGCAATGGCTGAAGGGGCGGAGAGGAAGCCGCTGCTTGAGATGGTGAGTGTGTGGGAGGCCAGGCCTCCCTGGTTCTCCCTGTCCTGCTGTGCTCCCTGGCTGAATGATAAGAGTACTAGGGAGGCAGGCTGGGGGGGCTCAGGCTTGTGGCAGAAGAGTCATGTGGTGACCTACTGCTTCCCCTTGTAGCCCTCAGGCCACAGGGTATGCTGTTCCCAAATCCCTCAGCTGCAATGAGCCTGGGACTGCTTTCATGGGTGGTCTTGTTTTCTGCCTACCTCGATCTTTATCTGGCTCCCGTGGCTGGAATATCTGAGAGCTCACCTACGTTCCTGGATTCAGAGAGAGAAGACGCGTTGTCTCTGTTCTGCAGATGGCGGCTGGGGAGGCACTGGGGTGGATGATGATTGCCCCAGGGAGTCTGAGGGCAGAACTGGGACTCACACCCAGATCTGTGCAAAAATGCTGTTTTATTTGTGTCCCCCCAGCCTCCACACCCCAGTACTGCCACCCTCAACCCTTCAAACATAATGAGTCGAGCTCCTCCCCAAAATCATACGATTTTAAAATCTAGTAAATGTGGGTTCTTTTTATTTTCTTTCTGGGTTTTGAGCCTTTTGGGGCTCATGTTTTCAAGCTTTCTCTACCGCCATGAGCACTAGAAAACTTGACTTTTCTTTTAAAATGAAAATAGGTTCTCACAAAATCATGTGAATCTACAAGCTGGGGCTTTAAGAAAAACACTTGTGATTCTAGACAGTTGGAAACGCTGTTCCCCCCCCTTCCCCCACCTACTTAGTTGTCTCATCACCATCTCGCCTGTAAGGCACAGATCCCCAAAGCTATTTAGGCACCTAACTCCAATTGATTTCCCATTGGGAATTAGGTGCCTAAATCCCTTTGATGAGCAGGGCCCGGATTATCAGTCACAATATATTTGTACAGTATCTAGCACCATGGATCTCAACTTGGTCAAAGCTAAGTGCTACTGCAATATAAATATTCAGTAGTAATAAGATCTCAAGTCTCCTTAAGTGTAAGGCCACACTTCTGGTTTTGCTAGGACCTTTCACCTCCACAGCCCACCGCTCTGTTAAAAATGACCTTAAATGTGCCCTGCAACTGAGGCCAGAAAGCAAGTGTATCCTTCAGAAGAAGATAAGATGTGGCATAGCTACAGAGCAGTAGAGGCGCCACCAACCTGTTACTGATCTTCAGCCAATCCCATTCAGAGTTTTCATCTCTCCACATTCAGCTTGAGTCTCCATTACAATTAATGCTGCAAACCTCCTTTCTATAATGGAGTTCTAAGTACTGGCTGTTGGTAACAAAGAAGATAAGCAGATGTGTTGTTTATGCTTGATTTGCAGTGTGGTTTGGAGACAAGGGAGTCAAGAAGGAGGTTGATAAATTGGAGGGAGTTCAGAGAAGAGCCATGTGAATGATTAAAGGATTAGAAAACCTGCTTTACAGTGATAGACACAAGGTGCTTGATCTATATAGCTTAACAAAGAGAAGGTTATTTAATAATGGGCTCTCCCATCTATCCAAGGGCAGGTCTACACTTAAAATGCTGAAGCAGCACAGCTGCACCAATGCCGCTGTAGCGCTTCAGTGAAGACACTACTATCTGACAGGAGAGCTTCTCCCATCAGTGTAGTTAAGCCACCTCTGTAAGAGGCAGTAGCTCACTATGTCGACAGGAGAAGCCCTCCTGTTGACAAAGTGCTGTCTACACACTGTTTTCACAACCCTGAGTGACGTAGTTACACTGATGTAAGTTTGTTGTGTAGACCTGGCCAGAGAAAGGTATAGCATGATATAATGGCTGGATGTCAAAAATAGACAATTTCAGACTGGAAATAAAGCATACATTTTTAACAGTGAGAATAATTAACCATTGGAACAACCAAGGGTTGTGATGGATTCTTCATCACTGACAATTTTGATTGGATGTTTTTCTGAAAGCTCTGCTCTAGGGATTATTGTGGTGCAGTTCTCTGGCCTATGTTATACTGGAGATGAGACTAGATGATCACAATGGTCCCTTCTGGCCTTGGAATCTAGGAATCTAATGACACTGAAAAGAATGGGGAGTTTTGGCATTGATATCACTGGGAGTTGGGACCAGGATTAAGGGCATAGGCCTTCATAGGGAGGGTTCAATTGACCAAAACCCAATACATTAGATTAAACAGTTCTCTAAAAATGGGATATTGTGCCCGAACTGAAAGTTGTATGTGAAACCCCAGCTGCATGGCGTATGGCATATTATTTTATAATCAGTCTAGCCCAGCAGTGGAATAGCTGGGCGATTAGTTTGCTTAGCAGACAAAATTGTGTCCCTTGCGTAGCAGTGAATTACTATGGGCTCAGTGTTTTCCTGCAAGGGTCAATCACACATCAGACAAGAAATCTTTCTATCAGGGATTCACAGAAGCGGCAGGAGGTCCCCATCTCCAAAAATCCATGGGTCCCTGATGACCGTATAGGTTATAGGAGAGCTGCTGGAGACTGCAGGCATTGGCACAGAAGTCACTCCCTTCTGCCATCTCCACAGCCCTGCTCCATGGCAGTGTGGCTTCTTCAGGATTTGTGATGCCAGAGCTCCCCTGCTGCTCTCATTGTTTCACAGAGCAGGCAGGGAACCAGGTCAGGCTGAACAGAGATATGGTCAGTATGAAGTTGTATCCTGGGTGAAGCCCTGGATTGGTTTTATTTGAGGGTGGGTAGTGGTATGGCAAGCAGCCATTATTTGCCCCTTCACTTGCCCTCTCTTGAGATACAGAGCTTGAATCCAGTGGACCATCTACATGGCAGGTGGGCTGTGAAGTCTAAGGGATGTCTGAGGAAGGATGGTGGTTAGGGCACCAGCCTAGGACTTGGGCGAGCTAGGTTCAGTTCCCTGCTCTTTTACAGACTCCCTGTGTGACCTTGGGCCAGTTGCTTAGTCTCTCTGGACCACAATTCCGCATCTGTACAATAAGGATAATAGCGCTGCCCTACTTCCCAGGGCGTTAGGAGCATAACTATATTCAAGACTGTAAGGTGCTCAGATGCTGCAGTGAAAGGTCCGTATGGTGCCTGAGATAGATAGAAGGGGTAAGTACTAGGGCTGTCAAGCAATTAAAAAAAATGAATCGTGATTAATCATGTGATTAAAAAAAATAATAGAATACATTTATTTAAATATTTTTGGGTGTTTTTTACATTTTCAAATATATTGATTTCAGTTACAACACAGAATACAAAATGTACAGTCCTTACTTTATATTTTTTTATTACAAGTATTTACACTGTAAAAAAACAAAAGAAAAAGTATTTTTCAATTTGCCTAATACAAGTACTGTAGTGCAATCTCTTTATCATGAAAGTTGAACTTACAAATGTAGAATTATGTACAAAAAAGCCTGCATTCAAAAATAAAACAATGTAAAATGTTAGAGGTTGCAAGTCCACTCAGTCCTACTTCTTGTTCATCCAAATGCTCAGACGAACAAGTTAGTTTACATTCGCAGGAGATAATGCTGCCCATTTCTTGTTTACAATGTCTCCTGAAAGTGGGAACGGGTATTCACATGGCACTGTTGTAGCCGGCGTCGCAAGATATTTACATGCAGATGCACTCATGATTCATATGTTCCTTCATGCTTCAACCACCATTCCAGGAGACATGGATCCGTGCTGATGACAGGTTCTGCTCGATAACAGTCCAAAGCAGTACAGACCAATGCATGTTCATTTTCATTATCTGAGTCTGATGCCACAAGCTCAAGGTTGTTTTTCTTTTTTGGTGGTTCAGGTTCTGTAGTTTACGCATCAGAGTGTTACTCTTTTAAGATTTCTGTTTAGCGTACCTGGTTCGTAAATACCTTCCAATGCCAGCTGCAAAAGTGTCAAGCAAATGCCTGTTCTCACTTTCTGGTGACAGTGTAAACAAGAAACGGGCAGCATTAACTCCTGCAAATGTAAACAAATTTGTTCGTCTGAGTGATTGGCTGAACAAGAAGTATGACTGAGTGGTCTTGTAGGCTCTGAAGTTTTACATTGTTTTGTTTTTGAGTGCAGTTATGTAACAAAAAAATCTACATTTGTAAGTTGCATTTTCACGACAGCGATTGCACTACAGTACTTGTATGAGGTGAATTGAAAAATACTATTTCTTTTGTTTATCATTTTTACAGTGCAAATATTTATAATAAGAAATACACACTTTGATTTCAATTATAACACTGAATGCAATATATATGAAATTGTACAAAAATCAAAATATTTAATAAATTTCAATTTGTATTCTATTGTTTAACAGTGCAATTAAAACTGCAATTAATCGCAATTAATTTTTTTAATCACGAATAATTTTTTGAGTTAATCGCGTGCGTTAGCTGCGATTAATCGACAGCCCTAGTAAGTACTAATTCTGTGGCGGGCTTCCTTCCTCCCCAGGCAGCAGTGTGGGATGTATGCACAGAGAATTCTCGAACCTAGGAACATAGCTGTTTAGGGTGTTTGTCACAAGGTGGTGGAGGATGTTTTTGGGTTCAGATTTCACACCTGATCTTTAGAGAAACATCAGTAGCCCTATCTAATGCTTGTCAGCACCACAGGATGTGACACCACTTTATTTTGTATAATATCTTTCATGGAGCTAAATGACACAGGTACCAAGTTAAAACCCAAGCCAACAGCAGAGGGAGGGAGAAATTGAGAGGAGACAAAAGTGGCATTTTCAGAAATGGATGGAAGAGTGAGATCCAAGAAGGTGCCTGCTGCTTTAATTTCTTGAAGCATTTCATTGTGTTGCCCTGTGTTTTGAGCTCACTGAGATTGTCCCACAGGGAATATAAACAGCAAAGTCTGTGCTATGTTAGATGGAGCTAGGTTAGAAGCTAGGGTCAATATTTTCTAAAACTGGCCCTATTTTTCAAAGGGATTTTTTGGAATGAGGACCAAGGAGTCTCAGATAATCATTTTGTTAGCTGCAAGATCTTTCTGTGGTAGAGATTTCCCACCCTTTAAACCGACACATTGGCAAGATTATT